AAATGGTAATGACAGGAGGTAAAGGATATGTTAACTAACCTTACTGTGGTAAACATTTCACAATATATTTGTATCAAATCATCACATTGTACACCTTAAGCTTACACAGTGATATATGTCAATTGTATATCAATAAAGCTGGAAAGAAAAGAGATGAATCTATACAGATAGCCCAAACTAGGCATCATCCAAAGAGCACTTGAAATAGACCTATTTTCTTATGGATATTTCTATTATTAAAATTAATTCAATCCCTAGAGTTTATACAACATGATGAGGTAAACATGGAAGTACACCAAAAAAAAAACCCAAAAAACAAAAAAAGAAATAATAAAACACCCTTTAATTTAAAATGGGCTACACATGATTTTAACAATCCATCTACCACTAATTCTTAAATAAAAATAACCCATCTACCTGATTTTAAATAAAAACCTAAAATGTAATATGTATTTCTAAACCAAAATCTAAAACTAGTTTTACAGATTTTTATTAAGTATTTTATTCTCAAAAACTCATTTCAGTGTGCCCTGACTATATTATGGAAGGTTATCAAAACAATAAGAATAGCACTGGTTTACCAAATAAACTGTAATGCTACCTACTCTTCAAAATTAATACACATACATTACAATTGGTATACTAGCTGCTTCTGTCAAAAGATCTGTAATCAGAACAATCTATTACTAACCAATGAAAATTAACTTGACAAATGAAAATTCTTTACTAGGCACATGTAATACCAGGTTTACTAACTTTGAGACTAAACAAAACGCACAGGAAGAACTGAGTTTCTATGTGATTATCAAGCATATAATCAGAACATGATTCTCAACTTTAAATCTTGGCAGAGAACCTTCTTGAATATTCTAAATTCCAAAAATTATCCAAGACTGAAATAGTTGGTACTCTAATTTTAAAATTCTGTGATTTCTATAAAACACTTAGATTTTCTGATTTCAGTTTTTTGTTAACCAAACATACCAGCTAAATATCCAAAGAATTTCTTCCTGGTACATTTCATGGTTAAATGATTTATGTTTGGTATGTCATAATTAACATTATTCTTGTTTTTTTTAAAGTAGAAATTAGTATTAGTTCAATAATATTAAAGGTCCTTTAATACTATTTAAACATAATATTTTAAAATAGGCCAAGTTTTAGAAAGAGAAGCCCAATTTAGTAATTGTAATGACATATGAGCACCATAAAAATCCTTTTCTTTCTCCAGATGTGAACAGTATCAAACTTTCCCTTTCTGTATTCTCTCCACCCACAAAGACCCATAAGCCCTCCCTCCAAAAAACTTTTTCACCCTCCCACCAATGAAGGCTTCCCTAGAGTGAAGAAAAAAAAACAGTTAAACTAAAGGATGTTTACTATCACAGAAAGTTGAGGAAGGAGAGTGCTAATGCAGCCTGCATTTTTCAACCAATACCCAGAGAGTTACAGTCAGTCTTTTGACTTCTACTCTGGGTCTCTGGCTAGGAAGAATGGGATGTCTAATACAGAAGAGAGCCTGGAGCTATATATCATGTTTGCTTTCCCACCTACAGCTAAGGTGTTTAAATTCCAAACTAGAGATAGGAGTTCCTAAATATTAACACAATCCGTCTCTTACAAATTACCTCATTTTCCATTTCATTCAAACCACAGTTTGAACACTAATTATAGATAAACTACAATATGAATATTGTGTATACTAAAACACATATTATGTTAGTATGCACAGAAATATTAGAAAAATCTAGGTTCTAATTAACTGCGACTTTCATTTATTGTCTTTAATAAACAAAATATTTTTTATTCTAAAAACAAAAGTTGTCAACAGATAAGGACCACACCACTCACATACTTCCATTCTAAAAACAGTAGTAAATTAGTAAGGACAAAGGAGTGAGGGAAGCATTCACTTGGTATATGTGAAATCTTCCCTAACTGCTCACCTGATAATGGTGGTGAAATATATAACCGAATTTGAAAAAAAGTTAGAGAAACTTTCAATAGAAATATTATATTTGGATTTAAACCTAAATTATTAAATCTATTTTAAAACAGCAATTTTAAATTATTGAAACAAGCTTCTTTATTATTCACCAATTCAGGCAGTATTTATCAAGCACTTTCTATGTGTCAAGCATTAGAATGGATACAACCTTCATTTTAAAATAACTGACATTTTTAAGGACTTCACATGTACTAAGTAATGAACTTGGACCACAGCACTTTATAATGTAACAACCTTACGAATAGGTACTACTTTAGCCCCATTTTACAGATAAGACAAAAACAGTGTAAAAGAACTTAACCCGTGGATATGCAACTAACTATAAGGGACTAGGTTGGCAATTGAATCCACTATTAGGTGTCACTAGTACCTAATCACTCTTTTAGGCACTTACAATGAAACTGTGGAAGATATACACCAGGCAAAACTGCTTAATAATATAATGAAAGTGTAAATAAAGTGCTTTGAAAGTATAAGAAACATAGTTACTGCCTCCTAGAAGCTTTCATTCTAAGAATAAAGTCAAAGTAGTTCGATGCTACTTTAGTAAAGATGTATCTAATACTTAGGTATACTAATTGTATTATTAATTGCATATTTTAAAGTCAAGAATCCATGAGAACTACCATTCAATTTCATTTCAATTAAAAACCTGTCACACTATACAGAAAACAGGATCTTATCTCTTGTAATATTTCAAAACAAAAATGGGTACATAATCTGCAAACATGCAAAGGAAGGAATTACAAACACAGAACTCTCTTCAGAGAAGGCACAAAGTACCAGGAAGCATAAAAGAATTCGTCAGGTGGGCCTGAGTTAGATCTCATGTCCCTACCTCAAGAAAAACTGGAGTTTAGAGATGTTTTTTTAATCTGCACATAACACCTACCATTAATGTTACTATATTCCTATCAAAGAAAAAGAAGTCAAAATCAACAAAGGTTAAAAACAAAATTCAAGGAGTAAACAACAGATTCTGCTTTTTAACATGAAAGAAAAAAAGGGCAATTTCAAGAGAAAAATTTAAGTATATTGTGTCTAAGAAACTGGGGGCAACAAAAGTTAGTTTGTAACAGAACTATCAACTTAACGTTTGAGAGTCAGGGATGGATTGGCTACAAAGGAAAAAGATGATTCTTCATCCAAAAACTACCACAAAATTACAGAAAGCTGGATCTCTTCACGCTAAACAAAAATAAATTTATTTTTACCTTATTACTAGAATGCTTCCTGAAATCTAGAAGAAATCTGCAGTAAGCCCGGTCTATGGAAACAGACTTTAAAATTCAGCAGAACTAATCAAGAAACTACAAGACAGTGTAAGACAACCATATAATCTTTGGCACATCAACTCACCTCCCCTTTAAAGTAACATGGAAGCATTCACCAAGGTTTTATATACACTTGGAGGAGTCATCTAGGTGTTAGGCTGTCATATTGTATATACTTAGTTGTTCACACCACTGCTTACATAGGTTCCAAATGTCTTGTTAGAAAAAGTTCTTAGAATTTACACTGGAGAAAACACTCATATAATTTTAGGAGACAGCAGAGAATGCACTGTTACCATCCTATAATCTCGCAGAGGAAAACCCCCTTAGGATGCTGTTTATTCCCCCGCTAAATAGCAAGAACTGCAGGCAATGTCTAACTACAAATAACTAGAGTTGTTCCCTGAGTGCCTGAGACTTCACTCTTCTCCTGAGTATTCAGATTCAGTTAATATTTAGAATTAGAATCTCTAAAAGTGTTGGTGTCAAGTGCCAACTAAGGTGTGCATGCATCACTCCATGGGGAGGTACAGAACTATATAAAAAAGCAAAGAACTTAGTTGGGACAGATCTAAAAGCACAATTAAGGAACTAAATGCCTATACCATATTAAAAATGACTACTTTTTCTTCTGTCATTTATTGTGACTGACAACCAAAAAGAAACTCAAAAGTAGAGAAGAAAACTTGGGGCATCTGGTAAGCTGTTTGTCTCACTTGTATATGTAAAGTCAAATTTCATTTTTAATCACAACTAAGAGAGCTACACAAGTTGTAGCAAAAGTAATCAGCATTATAAATATGTTTAGATAAAGTGTATCATGGGCAATACTGACTGACAGTTTGAAGTTATTAAAAAGTATAGTTGAGGCAGAAAAATGCCACAATACTGGTAAGTAGCCAAAGTTTAGGGCCCTCTTCCTTCCAATATCTGGGGAAGAATGCAAAACAAGTCACTACCAATAAAAGTTAACCTGAAATTACCACTACATAGCAAACAGGAGTTTTAGTGAAAAACAGTAATGCAGAGTTAAGTAATTAATGTGAGCAATCTAAAATAATAAACATTTCCCAGGACTTCTAAACTGTTACATATGGAATTCACAGGATGGCAGGAGTGAATTATTTGTAGAAAAAAAATGTTTTCTTCTTTCCGAAGTTATTCCTCAGTGAACTGGAGGAAAAATAAATGAAAAGCTGTTTTCATTATATTTTTTACTCAGTGCTAGTTGTTGATAGCAAACAATCAGTAATTGTTTCAAGACACCTACTTTTTTAAACTACCGAGATATATGACCTTAACTTAAAATAAAGAAATGAAACCAATCCCAACTATTTCTATACTCGACAATTTGAGTCTATCTAGTGGGGTGATCAAAAGCTGTCACACACACGTTACACAACGATTTTTGGATAAACGACTTAGGCAAATCATCCTAGAGCAAGGACGTCAGACTAAAACTTCAAAAATCCTAACAAACATTCTAACTTCTGAGTTCCGGCTCTGTACAAGCACTTCAATGAACAGATGTTTAAAGCTTCCTTCGCTCTCAAAGGTCAGGTCCACCCGGCGATAGGGGCGGGGACCTCTGTGGGGGACGTGGGGGCCCCCGTCGGGCTGACGAGGCGTTCTTGGCCTCCGCCCGTCATCTGGGCCGAGCCCGGCTGACTCAGGGGCGCAGACCGGCCACGGGCGACGCGGGAGCCTCCCTCACTAACCGTGAAGCGCTGGTCGCCGACACTGCCCACGGAGAAGCAGTGGTCGCCGGGGTTCACAGCCCCGGTCAGCACCTGGTGCAGGTTCATGTCCGCGCTTTAGTCCAGCAACGGACGCCGCGTCTGGCTCATGCCCGGGGTCGGCAGCCGCTTGCCTCCCTCCTTTTCTCAGGGGCGGCGTCCACTCTTGGGCGGCGACGGCGGCGGCGGCAACGACAGGCGCCAGGAGCCAGAGCCGCTCAGCCGGGGTCCGCAGCTCATTCCGAGGCCCGGAGGGGGCGGGCCGGCGAGCGGGCGGAGCGCTGCGCTGGTCCGCGCACCTGTCACAGCCCGCGCGGGGCCAGGTGAAGCTCGCGGTCGATTCAGCGGCCGAGACCACAGGCCGCCTTACCTGCAGGGCCGCGGCGACGACACACTTGCGCCGGGCTCCGGGTGACTAGCTCCGGCAGAGCCCAAGTGGCGCAAGCAGCACGCGCTCGCCTTCCCCGCCTGAGTCGTCCCTTTCAGCTCCGGTGTCCGCCGCCCCCACTGGCCTTCGCCGCCCACTACGCGTCTCCAGAGCCCTTCGCTCGAAATATCGCGAGATGTCTTGGGGAAAGAGGCGAACTGCGGTAAAGGGCTCACTGTTTTACCACAGTGTACAACTCTGCTAGTGGGTATGAAAACGCCTCTTCTCCTCAGATACTGGCCAATCCCGAGCTCCAGTCCAGTTGCGGCTCCGCCCACTTCTCAGGACAGGCCAATCTCTTTGAGGATTGTGAGCGACTCTGTCCTTTTGAGTGTTGAACGTGGGGAACCTGGTAGAAACATAACAAAACCAGAATGAGGTAAGAGTTATCAAGTTGTGCCTTAGAGCAGGGCTTGATCCAACTGAGGATTCAGAGCTTCGAAAGGAGAAAAGCATTATAAATAGAGTTGCAGTGGCTTCCGTCCTTGTAGAGACTACAAGTCCCAGCAAGCACCGCTCCCGCAGGCAGCCCGTGAGGGCTCCAGCTAACCAGCTCCTTAAAGCATCTCTATCCCCGTGCAGCTCTTAACCGAGTCGCACGAGCGTTTCCAACTCGCCAAGCAGGGTACTTTTAAAGGTTCAAACACTTGAGCAAGTACTAAAATGAAATGTTTTCACCTAAGTTTATCTTAACCTACGTTTTGAAGTAGTGCGGCTAATCGTACTGCAACCAAGTCCCGCGTTTGAGCGTTTGTTTTGGAGAAACCTAAGAATTCCAAAATGATCAGTGTTACTGTTAGCAATAGTAAGAGTCAACTCTTACTGTATTTTAACACAAGTTTACTATTATTATTGATAAGCATTTGTTTATATGTCTCCTCTCATGTACTGTAAGTCTCTTAGGGACAGACTGTCCTGTTCGTCTCTGTTTCCCAAGTTGTCCAGCACAGCGCTATTTCAAGTTTAGGTGTTAAATGTTGAATGAATGTAGAAATTCTCCACCCAAAAAGAGTATTTTTTTTAATTACTAAGTGTTTTTCATATAAGTTTGTTGTGGCAAAACAAAAACAAAAAAGCAAGTCTTCGCACTTCATACTTGGATGGGAGGAGGACTAGTGATTTTTAATTCCTTATACTTTCCCAAAGCTTTTTACAATGTACATTTACTTTGTTTTGCAATAAAAACTTAGATAAAAAAAAAGCTTAGGAGTTACCCTCCTTTCTCTAACGTGAAAGACATAATTCAATTACATTACTTATTCCGGTCTCATCATAAAAATGAGGGACTTAAAATTTACTTTGTCTTAAAAAAACGATTTTAGTGTTGTCTAATGTAATTACAGTTTGATTGGTATTTTAATTATTAATTCAAATATCATTTAAAATGATTTAGTGTAATTTTATATTTTAGACCCTTTATGAAGATTTTTCTGTGTCCCACATAACTTCTACACCTGACCCAAAGTTTGAGATGTTAGTCATTCTACTCTGCCCAGTTTTTTATTTTGAAGGGCATAAAGTATAGCAGAGTAAAAGAAACTAAGCAACCAAGTAGTTAGGAGGTCTGATATCGACTCCTCATCTCACATTTGCTATGTGACCTTGGGAAGTCTTGTTAACTTTAAGACTCATTTGTTTCATCTATAAAATTAGCAAGTTAAACCTGATTATCAACAGCATTTCCATTCCCACAACTCTGTACATATGTTAGTTTTCATTAAATTCCTTTAGCCTTGAGAAGACTACCTGAGTTTGAATTCTGGCCTAACCACTCAGGCAGGTTACTTAATCTCTCTGTGCTTTACTTTTTTTTTTTTAATCTATAAGGTGGAGATAGTTACAGACATTCTTTTTATATAATTATCACGAGGATTAAATGAGTACAGTGTTGGCATGTAGTCAGAAATCAATAGATGTTAGCTATTATTAGTAAATAAACCTAACCTTTTTACATAAACTTACTCTTTCCAGGGTTTTCCAAATAGTGTCAAACCTCAGTCGAAATCAAACTTTCCAGGGTTGTTGGAGACCACACAAATGTTCTGAGGCCATACGAGTCTGTATGTAGAACTGTGGAACTACAATAGCTAATGAAATGCAAGGGTATTCTTTTGCCTCTTATTCATCAGAAACTACTATTAAATTTCCCATTAAACAACCTATCTTTGATATACAGCAGAGAACTGTTGCAATGAAACAACTAAATGCTTGAAATTCATTTATTTCTTCTCCTGCAACTCTGAACTGCTGTGTGGCTTTATATATGAAAATTATATGAAATTCACATGTCCATAAATAAAATTTTATTGGCACAGCCATGCATAGTCATTCAGGTATTGTCTATGGCTACTTTCACACTGCAACTGCAGAATTGACTAGTTTCAACAGAGGCCAGATAGCCTGCAAAGTCAAAAATATTTACTAGTTGGCCCTTTATAGAAAAAGTTTGATGACACCTGACCTATAGGAAGAATCCTCTACTTTATGGCCGATGAAACAGTTTTTGCTATGCAGAATTGTTATTCTACAAAGCATGACAACTGAGCTTAGTTATCAAAACATTTAATATTAATGATTACATGAGCATCTTTAAATGTATCTATTGCCTCTCTGATTCCCCAGTATTTGTCATAGCACAGAGTCAATATTCACTAATAGTTGAATGAAAGGATGAATGTAGACAGAACCTGACTTACATATATACAAAATGTTCCCTGAAAGAATATGCCAGAGAGGTGGCTGTAGGCAATCCCTTTGCTTCCAAGCTGCTGCTTCTCATAGATCACCCCCCTAATATCACTCACCTCCCCTTAACAAGGCTAAATCCAGTCCTGACTTCGTATGCAACTTGAGTGTAACTCTGACCTTGTGGCAAAATTAGTAATGTAAGGAAATGGAGGAAGTGAAGGTAAATTATGCATGTCTGCCTTTCATCCTCCCCTCCCTGTCTCCTGCCCAGAGGCCACTAATCCACCTCCTAACATGAAAAATCCTGAATTCTTGAATCTAATTATTCCCTTAACTATAACTGAATTTTATCAGTCTGTCTTTTGAATGCTCAAAGACTGTGTGCTTTTGTTTTTTCCTTTAATTTCTTTAGTTACTTCAGTTTTTTTCTTTAGCTTTATTTCTAAGAAATAAAAGAGGAAGGATGGCTCTACAAATGGAAACTTGTATTTTTTAAAAATAAAATGTTGTATACTCCATATTGTTACTAGCAGCAAAATCTCTTAGAGAACTAAAGTTCTGGAACTGGCAGACCAAAGAGAAGCTGTGCTCTCTCCAGAGCTACTCTTAAAGGGAAGAGGGACATTTATCAGACCCCATGGGTGGTGTAAATGTAAAGAAAAGCAAACAGGTTCAACACTGAGATCCTGATGGGGAAAGGAGCATATAGGAAGCCAGTTCAGATTGAGAAGCAATCATGCCTCTTCCTCATTCTCTGAGTTCCTGAAATCCTTGTTATCACCCTTCTCCCTGCCACCCTCACCCTAAACTCATCAATATAAATCACTAATCTCCCAGAGTCTATGCCGCAGGAGCCACCAATAGGGACTTCAGGCACTACTGCCAACACCCAATAGACCAGAGAAGTTAGAAGTAAAGGGAGGTTCTAATGTCGGAACAAGGCTGAGTCAGGGGGACTGTGTGGCTGGAATTTTATATGAGCATTTTAAATTCATAATCTCATACAGTATGAGGGTCACTGTGCAACTAAGACATTGACTGCCCTATAAACCTGCCTATAGTGCCAATAGCAACCTTGCTATAGGGAAATCCATCAGGAATATTACAGGTTAAATAGATATTTGAGCAATGATATAGGACCCTAGCCATCCTTTTTAATAGTGTTACTATAGAAAAATCAATTTCAGTACCTCTCAAATTTGATGCTTGCCATTTAATACTCTTAGCTCTTAGCTCACACATACTTGCCTAGCTGGAGCTCTCTCTACCCATAAGCACTTAAAAGGCAATTATTAATAAAGGCTATTGTTCATTAAATACCCACTATATATCATAGTAGGTATTTTATTTATCTCATTGAAATCTCAACAACCTTATTGTAAGATAAATTCTAGCCGAAATAAGTAGGCGACGAGAGGCAACAAAGGGCTAGGCAGTTTATTTGAGCGCTATTCCCGGGTGATGTTCCACGGTCTGGCTGTCACAGGCTGGGGAAGTCACACCCGGTCAGGGAGGTGGGGGCTTATAAGGGATTAGGAGGGGGAGGAGTGGACAAGCTATCCTAGGGGGCGTGGAGAGGTATGATTGGCTAAAGGTGACATAATAGACAACTAGAAACTTTTTTTCCTTCCAAGAGGGAGGAGGCTGACATCCGGGTCTTAATTGGCACATTAGAAGGATGGAATTAAGGAAGAGCTGTCCCCTTTCCATATAAGGCACGGACCTTGGGGTCTGGTCTGTTCTCCTTTTATGGTATCTCTCTGTTCTGTTTGTATATCCTTCTTTTTCCTTCCTCCAGCATAACATTTATAAGGGTAATATGTCTGTTTTATAAATGAAAAGAGAGCTAAACTCAGAGAGATTAAATAATTTTCCCAAGGTCACATTAGCCTTGGGTCATATCACCACTTGAGGATCTGAACTCAGATGTCTTGCACTTCAAAAGCTAAGTGTTCTCCAAAAAATCCCAAGGTGAATACAATCAAAGCCTATCACTCACCCCCTTGCCAGCAAGGTGAGA